TGCACAAAAGTTATTCACTGTTATCGGTTATTATTGTTGCATAACAGCCCAATCCAAAATTAAGTAACTCAAAGCAATCTATTATTTCTCACAATTTTGAGGGTTGGCCAAACAGTACTTCTGCTAGTTTCATCTGGGATCTCTTACGTAGTTGCATCAAGCTAGAGGATAACTAGGCCAGAAAGTCCAGAATGGCTTCACTCACATGTCTGGTAATTGGGTGGACTATCAGCTAAGATGCCTCACTTCTCCTTCTTCAATAGACTAGACTGGCTTCCTTACGTAACACTCTTACAGCAGTATTTCAAGAGAACAAAGGTGGAAGTTGGCAAGATCTTTTGAGACTCACATATCATTTCTGCAAAGGGGCATGCATATTGTGAGGGGAAGAAATTTTTGACACTTAAGTAATCTATACACTCACTAAGTTAGAGCAGAATCATTTCTGAGCTGCATACCCATTCCTGAAAATTACTAGGACTAAAAGAGCAATCCCAGATTACAGTGGGAAACCATCAACAGAAGATTCTATCCTCAGCCAGCAGTTTCTAAGGTTTTTATCTTGTGCTTCATGGAGTCATGGAGTCCAGGTACCCTTTAAAATTGTATGCAAAATTTTGTGGTTTTTTTGCATTTTTATGGAGAAAGGGAATCTGTGATTCTCCCCACCCACAAAGGTCACTTCAATCTAATTAATGATGATAATCCTTAGTTTGTGACATGTAAGCACATATTAAGTGTTGCACAGTTATTTTAAATTCTGATTTAAAAATTTTTTTTTTACGCTAAGAGGCTTTTTAGGGTAGGGGAATTAGTAATGTTATAAAATCAAGCAATAACAGTATGTCTAAATCGCAAAAAAAAAAAAGGAATAGAATCAACTTTTGGCACTTCATAATATCTGATCTTGCAAGCATAATGAAGACCACCTCGCCTTTTTATTTTTTGAACCCCTACTCGATTCCTAACAGGCAATGACGAGAATTTTAAAAGGTGAATAGCCCTGGCTGGTGTGGCTCAGTTGGTTGAGGTGTCATCCTGTGCAACAAAGGGTTTCGGATTCAATTCCCAGTTGGGGCACATACCCAGGTTTTGGGTTCAGTCCCAGTCAGGGCGTGTATGGGAGGCAACTGATGTTTCTCTCTTTCCCTCCTTTCCTCTCTTAAAAAACTGAATAGCCCTAGAGAGTATGGCCTGCAGATTAAAGGGTCCTGGGTTTGAAGTCAAGGGCACATACCTCAGTTGCAGGCTCGATCCCCAGTCCTAGTCAAGAGTGTGTACGGGAGGTAATCAATTGATGTGTTTTTCTCACATTGATGTTTCTCTATGTCTCTTCCCCTCTCTGTACTCTCTCTAAAAATAAATGGAAAAATATCCTTGGGTGAGAAGTAAAAAATTTTAATAAGTTGAACTCTCTGGCCACTGTGGTTAAGTGGTTAGAGCGTTGGCCCAAGTACCAAAGGGTCGAAGTTTCAATTCCATGGGGGAAGCACCCAATCGATGTGTCTATCACATCGATGTTTTCTCTCTTTCTCTTTCCTTCCACTTTCACTCTTTCTGAAAATCAATGGAGAAAAATATCCTCAGGTAAGGATTAACAAAAAAAAAGGTGAACAATGCTATGTTATAATCTGATAATTAGGTCTTTCTGAAGCTGGAATGATACTAATAAGTTTGTTCTCTGGACAGACTTGAGAAGGAGAAAGCAGAAATTGAACGCATGCGAAATCTGACTGAGGAAGAGAGGCGAGCTGAGCTCCGTGCAAATGGCAAAGTTATTACCAACAAAGCTGTGAAGGGCAAATACAAGTTCTTACAGAAGTATTATCACCGGGGTGCCTTCTTCATGGTAAGAGGGGAAAAGGGAAAATTGGGCAATAGAAATAACTCAAATAACTCAGACGCTTTGAAATCTATTTTCCCCTCAAGAATAAACTGGTTCTGGAATGTTACTTCCACTTGCCAGTGGTCAGCTTTCTCATTTGCTTTTTTAAGTCTCTGAAGAATATGAATCCAAAGTATTGGTAAAAGGATTTTAAAAGTTGCAGCAACTATTTTTTCTTTTAGCCCCAACTCCCAGGAGAAGGAAATGATGTGTTAGAATTGAGGAACTGAAATAGAGAGGTGGTGATCTATATAGATACTAGACTATTTATGTACCAAAATCACTTAGATATTATTCATAACTGACTTTTGCATTTTGGTTATGCATAAAATAGGTTCTGCAAATAGCTTTACATGAACTCATACTTGCATGGCAACAGTTTAATTCACTTCATTCTGAGCTGACAGAAAGTTACTAAGCCTAACTAACAAAAAAAGTGGTTAGCCGGGACCAGTTTGGCTCAATGGATAAGCATCGGCTTGGGGACTGAAAGGTCCCGGGTTCGATTCCCCGTCAAGAGCATGTACCTTGGTTGCGGGCATGTACCTGGTTGTGTGCAAGAGGCAGCTGATCGATGACTCTCTCTCATTGATGTTTCTGACTATCTCTCTCCCTTCCTCTCTGTACAAAATCAATAAAATATATATATATTTTTTAAAAGTGGTTAATTATCTAACCACTATGTATAATGCCATCATCTTACCAAGATCAAAATATCAACCTGTTAATCCTATATAAGGTGATTTATTCCAAATTATTTGGATTAGCATTAGATATAATTTTTAAAACTATTTTTAGAAAGAGGATAGAAATTATTTTGTATCTACAAAAAATTCAGAATCAGAGATTTGAAAGGCTTGTAACAGAGTTAGTCATATGAGTGAATGAATATAGTTGAGAGAATATAGCCAACCTTCAGTAAATGTCTACACTTAGGAAGAAAAAGACAACATGAGGGGGAAAAGGAATGTCATATCAAGATGTAAGCTCTTGAAGGTTTTATCCCTCCTGCTTTCTTTGTACCCCTCATCATAGTTTAATAAATTTGTGGTTTGAATGTATGGGAAATAAAACCACAAGATTGAAAAGACTCTTTTCTACAGGATGAGGATGAAGAAGTATACAAGAGAGATTTCAGCGCACCTACCCTGGAGGATCATTTCAACAAAACAATTCTTCCCAAAGTCATGCAGGTATGGGGTACCTTAACATGAGAGAAAAGTAACATTGAGGGCTGGGACATAATGTTTGTTAGTATGACTCATCTCCTATCCTTCCCTCAGGTCAAGAACTTTGGGCGATCTGGTCGTACCAAGTATACCCACCTTGTGGATCAGGACACCACCTCCTTTGATTCAGCATGGGGCCAAGAGAGTGCCCAGAACACAAAGTTCTTTAAACAAAAGGCAGCTGGGGTACGAGATGTATTTGAAAGGCCATCTGCCAAGAAGCGAAAAACTACTTAAAGGTCAACTACTTATCATCAGCTGTGGGACACAAGGGCAAGTCTCAGTGTCTGGTCCTTTGCTTTCACTATTATTTACATGGGCTGTGTATCCAGCCTGTTGGCCCTACTGCCATACTTGTGATACTGGGGAACCCAGTTTTGGAAGGTGCTTTGTGCGGTTTGGACTCATGCTGAGAAACCCACATAAACAGCACTATCCAGGTAGGATTACCCCCACTTAAAATTATTTCTGAGAAATCGTCGTTTTCATCATTGCTCTCACTTCCCAAATTTACTTGGGACTGTTTCAAGTTTTTCCCCAGCCCATAGCTTGGGTCAGAAATATAGTCATGTAAATGGACAGTGCATCACTTCTACCTTACAGGAAACCTGAGCTCATTGAAACCTGATTTACCATTTTGGCTCGAGTCAATTTTTCTAGGTGAATGTACTTTTTAAATCCATTTATGTACATATCAATAAATAAAAGAATCACATGACTTTTTGAGCTTCATATTGGAAAATAATGTGCAGGCTATTAAGCATCTATCTGTTAACTAAAATAAAGTCAGGAAATTGTCAGGCAAACGATGTTTCACACTTTCTTAGTGACACAATTTATTGTGAGCAAATACATAGATGGTTGTCCTTGCCTTCTTATGTTTATAGAACAAAAGTTGACCCATAAAATGGGGACTCCCAAGTCCCTACCAGTATCTTCTTTGCCCAGCTCATATATCAAGGAGGGCACAGTGCTGAGTTAGTGTAGTGACATTGTGCTCAAGTTAAATTCATGATTTTCCCACTTACTACATAACTACCATGTACATGGCAGAGCATAAGGAGTTCTAGGGATTATCAGAAATGACATTTAACCAGCAGGAAGGCTACTTCTCAATTGCATGAAAAAATAAGGCGGCCTAGGTTTGTTCACATCCTTTAAATGTCCCTTTAGGAAATCCCTCATAAATCCTTAAAAAGTCCTAGAATAAAATTACAAATGCAGCCCTGGCCAGTGTGGTTCAGTTAGTTGGGTGTCATCCCATCACAGAAGATCCCTGGTTCCATTCCTAGTCAGGGCATGTGCCTGGGTTGCAGGCTAGGACCCCTCCCCCCCCAACAGGGGTGTGTGCAGGAGGCAGCCAATCAATGACTTTCTCATTGATGTTTTTATGTCTTCCTCTCCCTTCCTCTCTGAAATTAATTAAAAAAAATTTTTTTAAAGATGAATAAGTCACTGTTGTGTGTGTCAGAGGGGAATACAATCTTAGAATTATCCTACAGCCAAAATGAGGATAAACTTGGAATTCTTTTGAGAATGTGTTTATAGCTGCAGTTGGTTGAAGTGTTATCCCAAAGGTTGTGGGGTTCAATTCCCCATTCAGGGAACCATATCGGGTTGTGGGTTCATACAGGAATCAATTGGTCGCTGTTTCTCTCCCCATCCCTTCCTCTCTCTAAAATCAATTAAAAATAATACAAAAATAAAAGAGAGCTAGTCTGATGAATGAGCCTGTCCTGCCATCTAGCATGTGCATATGAACATGAGATTCTCTTCTACAATGATCCTTCACATAGGTTCCTTAAGGAGAGAGAGGGCAAAAATCACTTAAATTCAGTTATACTCCAACATATTTTTCATTTGATCCAAAATGATAAAAATGCACAAAAAAAGAGACAACTTTATTGCAATAAGTTAATCCAGTGGATAGGTCTGAGAAGCACAAATCAGTTGGTTAGGGCAATAAGAGCCTCTACCACGTTGCCCATGTGTTCCCTCAAGCTCCGCTCTGCTGCTGCTCTTGAGATCTCCATCTCTGTCATCTGCAGGAAAAGGATCAAGGATATTACCTCTGGCATTAATGTGCCACCAAAACATACTACTTGTTTCAAGAAACAATCCAAACTAGGCAAAGTAACCTCCGCTGCCCATTCATTAGTTAGGCATCACTACTCACTATCAGCTCCAGATCTTCCTTCTTGATGGTGACTTTTGCCAGTTCCTTCTCCCTACAAATATTCATGTGCATTAGTCCTCTATCTCCACCATAAACTCCCATGAAGGACATTCCCTGTTGTCCTTACAATAAATGACTCTTGATAAACAGTCGAGTGGAAATACAAAATGACTTTCACCCTCTTAACATTACCCCCTTCCCAGGAGACTTTGGGACAGGCAGCAGGTGTTGCCAGGAGGCCTTTCCATCTACCAACAAGAGAGTAAAGTTTTAAACTTTATATCTGAGGGAATTGGTGATAGAATTGAAGAACGGTGCAAGTTACAAGGCTTATTCATGGTTTTTATTTCTGCTGGGGGAAGGAGCGACTCCTGGGCTGGCTGAGTACCGAAGACTTACCGCTCTTGTTTGGCTTTCTGCTCCCGGGAACGTCTGTCTCCAATCACGGACATGGCCTACAGGAAAGACAAACCTAGTTACTGCTCTGCTACTCACAAATCCTAATATAAAAATCCATTAACATACGAGGCAGGGGTATTATTCACGAGAGCGAGTGTATCAGGAGGCTTATTTAATTCAATTCTAAGCTCCCGAAGCCCACTTTTAACCCAGTCACCAGCAAGCTCCTTTTCGCAAGCCGCGGGTCTAGTGACGGCTCGGCTTCCCTCCTGCCTCCTCCCGCCATCGGCATCGTGACCGGGTCCCAGAGCGGGGCTTCCAGTTACTCCGTCGGGGCCCCCTCCGCTCCCGGCCGCCTCACCGTCTCCAGGTTGGAACTCTGGATCTCCTTCTCCTCCGCGTAGTCGGTGACCCTCTCCAGGTCGGCCGCGCCACTGTCATGCTTCCGTGGCTTCTCGGGAGGCCGCTCGGGGCCGCTGGTCTCCGTCTCCAACTCCAGCTCCACATCCCCCTCGGTCGCCATGTCGATCCCACCGCGCCGCCGCCGCAGGCTCCGCCCCGCCACACGACTTCCGGTGACGCCCACAACATCCGCCGGGGGGGAGGGGAGGAGGCGGGCAGTCCCGGGCCACGCCTTCATTCATGCTTTGGTTCTAGAAGCTTCGGCGAGGAGGGAGGTTCGCTTGGCCGACTTTCTTCTGGGCTTGTATTGTTTTCTGCAAAGCATTTTCCCAGACCTACCCCCCCGCACATCCTTCCCCCTCGTTACCTAGCCCCTCCAGCACCCTCCCGCGGCGCGCACACTCTCAGGGAATTCTGTTCCAGCTGCATTGAGGTCGTCTAATCCTAAACCAATTAAGGATGCTAATCCGCAGGAGGCCACATAGGCATACTGCTCTCTCATCTAGGAAGGACGGCCGGAGAGGCCTAAGGGTCCATGTAAGGAAGTAGTTTCACTGGGACCTTTGCATTCACCACATCCTGGAGGCCGCTGTTCTTTTCCTGATGTTCCTCCCCTCCTGTTTTAGACTGGGTGGCCAGCCCGGCACAGAGGCAGTCCAATGGGCTGAGGACAAAAGAGAGCTGCTATTTTCTCCTCCACCTTCCATCTGCCATAAGGATGGCGGGTGCAAAGGCGATCACGGGCCCCAGCACCTCCCTCCGCCTGGCACAGCAACGCAGTGAAGACGGCCATGTCAGAGTGAATCCTCCCTTCTATCAGGTGAGAAGGTGCTTGGGCAGAGGCTTGAAAGCTTCCTAGACAAGAGCTATCTGAAAAGCGGAAGGGAATAGTGGCTAAAGCTGGGGAAGAAAGCCCAGGGGAGCCAATAAAGATGATAGGCCTTCCTTCCCCTGAGGCCCTTCTGCTTCTTTGTAAGATTACTGGTCATTAAACCTTTTCCCAGTATCAGATGTTTAAGTCTGGGGAAAGGTTAGAGACCAGGAGAGACTTAGGCTTTTAGGAAGGTCTGCTCAGGCCTGCCGGTAGTAAGATTTTAGGATGAAAGCTCTAGTTGATGTCAGTGGAAGTCAATCCCAAATAGCTTGGAAGAAAAAGGGCAAATTTTGGAATTCAGCCTTAAACTCACACATGCATTAATGTAACCCTTGCCCTGCATCTGCTCTATCCCTAGGTGTCCTGCTGTGGGCCCGTTCCCAGTACCTGCTGCTGCCATACTAGGTGGCCTCATCTCACAGAGTCCACTTGTAGCCGCCTATCCTACACAATCCTCCATGTAGGGGCCTCAGCAGTCTGCTGCCTGCTGCTGTCAAGAACAGTTGTGGAGAGGGTCTGGGGCAAGGCTAATGGTGTAAGTGTGAGGGGATAGGGTTGCACTGACAAGATTCAGATTGGGGGCTGGGGACAAATGAGTGAATACCCATGAGAATTAGGTACCTCTCTATGCGTGATGACCTGCCTTCCTTCCAGATCCAGATGCCCTCAGGATTTTGTGCCCATCTGTTTGGCCACTCTCACTGCCCAGTGCTCAGTGGCTCTGGGGCTGTGTACCGAATTTGTGCAGGAACTGCCACCTTCCACCTGCTGCAGGCTGTGATGCTGGTCCACCTGCACTCGCCTACCAGCCGTCGAGCACAGCTGCATAATAGGTTTGTGTGTACTCTTTGGGTGGGGAGGGAAGTAGGCATAAGCTTAAAGGAAATTCTAAGATGAAATAATAGCACTGTAAAAAGACAGAAAACAGGTAGTTTTTTATTTTTTAAAGATTTTTAAAAATTGATTTTGAGAGGGAGGGATGGGAGAGGGAAAGAGACATCAATTTGTTATTCCGTTTATTTATGCATTCACTGGTTGATTCTTGTATGTGCCCTGACCTAGTAAGGAACCCACAACCTTGGCATAATGGGATGATGCTCTAACCAACTAAGCTACCTGGCTGGGGCCTGAACTTCGTTTCTAAAATGGAGGTGACAGTGGGATTATCTGCAAGCCCTATGTCAATAGTAAAATGTGTCCAAATGTTATTTAGGTGTCTGAGAGAATTTGGAATAAGCTGCAATGGGCCTGCTACCAGCCGCTCACACAAGACTCCTTTTCTATATTTAGCTGTCTTTTCTCTCCCTTTTCCTAGTTTTGCTTTCTTTTTTGCCTTCCTCGATAGGCACTGTCCACTCTCCTATGCCTTTTCTTTTGAATCTGTTTTTCTTCCCCTGCAAACCAGCTTCTGGCTCCTCAAGCTGCTGTTCCTGCTAGGTCTCTGTGCTGTTGCCTTCTGCATCCCTGATGAGCATCTTTTCCCAGGTACCTTCCATTTCATATCCTGATCAGTAGGTTAAAAGATTTTCTGAGAAAAAGAGGGTAGGAAGAAGACCGGGAGTAATAATATGATCAACCACATTTTCCCACTGGTGCAGCCTGGCATTACATTGGCATCTGTGGAGGCTTCGCATTCATCCTGTTGCAGTTGGTGCTTATCACAGCCTTCGCCCATTCCTGGAATAAGAACTGGTAAGGAGCACATAACCCTAAAGGCTCTTCCTGGGAATGTTGTCTAACATTAGACGACCCAGTGTGGTTGAACCAAGGATGTGACAGGCCCATGGTCCCAAAACTTCTGAACAAAAAAGCTCAGGAATCTGGTAAGTCTGTGGGCCAGTTGGGATGGGTAACCACAACACAGTCTTCTGGGAGAGGGGAATAGTTGGTAATGTAATAAAATTTAAAAAAAAGCGTTGGAGCCCGAAGCCACTGCTCACCTCCACCCTTAGGCAGACAGGTGCATTCCAAGACTGCCGCTGGTTCCTAGCCATGCTGCTGGCCACCCTAGGATTCTACAGCGTGGCAGGCATGGCGGCAGTGTTCCTGTTCCACCACTACACGCACCCACTTGGCTGCCTGCTCAACAAGATGCTGCTCAGTCTGCACCTTTGTTTCTGTGGCCTCCTCTCCGTCCTCTCCATCGCTCCCTGCTTCCGCCTCAGTGGGTACATGCCTTGCAACATTCCAGATTTGGGGGACCATTAGTCTAGCAAATTTCATTAGTTTCCCTAGATATCAACTCTGCTTCTCCCAAAGGGTGGGGAAACAGAAGTGTGGTTGGGGGTAGAAATTACTACCCTGTAGACTAAAGCAATGACCCCCATTACGCCCAGAGCAACCCCGCTCTGGACTTCTACAAGCCTCTATCATCAGCTGTTATATCATGTACCTGACCTTCTCTGCACTGTCCAGCCGACCTCCAGAGAGTGGTAAGGATAGGACCTGGTCTCCCCAGGCTAAACCTTATTTTTGCTCCTGCCAAATACTTAGTTTTGTTCTTACCACTTTTCTTCTACCCTTCTCAGTAATTCTTCAAGGACAGAATCACACACTGTGTCTGCCTGGCCTGAGTAAAATGGAACCCCAAACACCAGATACTTCTCTGGCAGTACTGAGTGCTGGCATCATGTATGCTTGTGTGCTTTTTGCTTGGTGCGTAAAAGTGTCAAGGGAAGAGGTATGAGAGAAGGAAAAATGCCCAGGACAGGGAGGGATGGTCAGACTGTCTGGGACCGTGTTTATTTAAACTTTAAAACATGACAAGAGGGAGGCTCCCCATGAACAGAAACAGTTTCTAAGAATAGCACTTGTCAGATGATCTGTGTAAGAAAAAGGGACCAAGGGAAGTATGAGAATTAAAAATACATGCAAAGATTTTAGGGCCCTCGTGAAGATTTCTAAATCAGGGGTGAGGGGGCTGGGGAAGTGGTTCTAGGAACCCAATATCCTCCTAAAAGTTACCAGCTGGCAGTAGGTGCCATCAAGCAATTCCCTCCCGCTATTTGATTAAATCTGCTTGAGAACTGTTTTCTTTCTCAGCAATGAGGCTTCCTACCTGGCTGAAGTATTTGGGCCCTTGTGGATCATCAAGGTTTACAACTATGAGTTCCAGGTGAGAATGGAAAGTTCAGTATCCCCCGTGCCCCACCCCTCCCACACACACAAACACACAGACACACACACACACAGACACACATCCTACCAATCTCTACCCAGAAAGCTCGGATTCTAGCTGCTATTACCTTTTATTGAGTACCCACAATGTGCTAGGCACTGTGCTCCTTTACATACATAATCTCATTTAATATAATCCTCACAACAACCCTGTGAGGTAGGTTATTTGCTCCATTTTACAAATGGAGAAACTGAGGCACAGATTAAACATCTTACCACAATTACCATAACCAGTTATATGCTGGAGCTAGCATTTGAACCCAAGCGTGCCTCTACTTCTTTCACCAGATTATTTTCAAAGAAAGGGAGTTTCCTATGTTAATACCTTCACATTCTTATCAGAGTCATTTCAAATCATGCTGCCTTATGTTTTACAGAAGCCCTCACTCTGTTTCTGTTGCCCTGAAACAGTGGAGCCAGAGGAAGGTGAGTGTCAAATGAGGATCCATAAGAAAGTGTAGATTTCTGCAGTGTCACAGAGCCCTTAAGCGCTTTCACAAAGGAAGCTGGGGGAGGAGGAAGATGGAAGAGGTATTTCAGCAGCACTATTGCCCTCCCTCTCTTCAGGGCAAAGAGGAGCTGCCAGGCCCACTGATCAAGAGACCTCTCCAGCTCCTCCAGTGAAAGCCCAGCATCTTTCCTACAGCTATTCTGCCTTCCACTTCGTCTTCTTCCTTGCATCACTCTATGTCATGGTTACCCTTACCAACTGGTTCAGGTAGGATGGGGAAGTAGGCCTGGGATACTCTCCTGAAAACCTAGCTATTATAGGGAGTGAATCAAGGCCAGTCCCAAGGGTTCCCAGGGGACTCACATGGGTCTGCCATAACCTGATGGGAAGGTAGGACAGGTCTAAACGCTGAGGCCCTTCATATTCTCTAACCACAAGACTTTGGTTCCACAGCTATGAGGGAGCAGAACTGGAAAAGACCTTCACCAAGGGTAGCTGGGCTACCTTCTGGGTCAAGGTTGCCTCATGCTGGGCTTGTGTACTCCTCTATCTGTGGCTGCTACTGGCACCACTCTGTTGGTCCCCCACCCAGAACCCCAAGCCTCCTCCTATCTTCAGGCAACAATGTCATCGTATTAGTATCGCCAGATAACAAACATCCATTCTAGGTATTTTTAACACACTGAGGTTTCCTTGAGGTTGGGCCCCTAGTCTTGATTCAGAAGAGCTGTATAGCCAAGCAAACACCTCAAGGACACAATGGGCAGTTAGTTACCTCATTTAGGCTGAAGGCAATACTGTGTCTGAATTGGAAAAAGTGCCTAAATATACCCTTAATGCCCTAGTCAGTTACCTGACTCACTAGAGCTACCATTACGTCTTCACCCCAACTCAAGAGCTAACTCCTAAGTCAACAGCTCAGGAAGCACTGAGATCAGTGGTTCAGGGAAAGATCAACAGGGACTGAAGGCATACTTGGCTCTGCTCTTGGAGATAAAAAGAAGCATAAGCAGTTCAGCCCTGGGCACAGGGATGTAAGAAGCCCAGAACCCCAGAACAAACCAGAGCACAGGAAGAAAGGAACAGAGAGACTACCCCAGCTTTTAATCCTGATCTTGAGGTCAAAGGAAGTGGGAAGACAAAAACCACCCTCATTCCACGAGGACTGAAAGAAGAGAATGTGAACACCTGAAAGCAGCTGGCTGTGGGAAGTAGGTGAGCAGCAGGATGTTTGCGCCAACTTTCAAGCAGGCAAACAAATGGAGAAAGAATAAGGAAGAGAGGCATAAACTTAGGTCTTGGAGCCTTCCTTCTTAAGCCCTCAACTCCATCCTTGGGATGGTGTTAAGGTCTAGGTGGAAGACAAAAATTACAGAAAAGAAGTCCCTATGGATTCCTCTACCACATAACCAGAGTACTTGTCCGCTTATTGTCACATAATAAAGGATTTTTCTGTGATGTTTTACTCAGGCTACATATCCACAACCTTTTAGGGTCTAACATTCTCTCCCCTTTTTCTGGGAAAGGACAGCCATTCCTCCATCCCCATCCCCCCAAATCCCCAGTCAAACCAGTCGCTCAAGGAATTACAAAGCTACTTTTAATACTTTGGGGTGAGCCCCACAGGAATAAAAAAACACTGGGAAGTGGTAACCCTCTCACCCCCAGGCGTGGCCCAGGGGGAGAGAGGCTACCTGAGGGGAAGGAAGCACAAAAGGGGCCCGCTGCAGACTCGGGGCAAAGGGAATGCCATCGGTGCTGGGACCTGTGAGCACTACAGGAGGAAACGCGAGCTTGGTGGGACTGGCTCCAGGCACACAGGCGAAGGGCAAGAGGGTTGGACACGAAGCCACAAAGCTACTTGGGTTCCTCCTTCTTCTCGTTTGCCTTTTTCTGCTTCTGCTGCATGATCTCCGAGTCCCTAGGGGTAGAGATGATGGGGCACTGGGAGGTACCAGAGGGCAAAAGGGACAAGATGCAGGGGGATGTAGGGCACAAAGGATAAGATGGACGTGGATGAGACAAAACTTCAGGGTGTGGCTGCTGTATTCCTAAGTGCACGCAATTAATTGGACATTGTTTTTTGTGAACAATTTAAAGTTGTCGCAAGCTCTTGTTGGGTAATTTGAGGATTTTGCACCAAAAGAGCTTGAAGAGCTTCTTGATCAAAATTAGACACACGGCCTCGACCACTCTTGTCATCTAACGAAAAATTTCCCTCGAGAAATTTCTCAAACCAACGCTGGCATTTTCTGGCGCTAACTGCATCTTGACCAAGAGCACTACAGATGTTTTTTGCAGCCTCACTTGCTTTTCTTCCTAATTGGAACTCGTAAAGCATGCAGTGCCGAATATGCTCTTCATCCACCATCTTCTTAGCCCTAGTTTTGCAACAAAAACCAAACCAAAGACAAACTTTTTCAAGCAAAACTTGTTAATTGCACTTCACACGTTCTGTAGATACCACGTGTTTGAAGGTTATGTCAATACAAGTCAAGCCAAGCAAGATTTTAAACGAATGTTTTAAAACGACATTAATTATTACTAGACCCGATAGTTCTCTGTTTCTGGTCCAACCCTCGGTCCAACCCAAGTTCTCGCCCCACCAGCGTCCCTCCCCTCCCAGGGGCTACCTCTGCTTGCGGGCGGCAGCAGAAAGCCCGTCATCTCGGCGCTTCCCTTTACCCGAGTCGCTCTGCTTTTTCATGTTCTTCTGGCGGGCGAGCTCGCGCTGGTTACCGCCTAAAGTAAAAAGGTGAACGGTGAGCCGCGGGGGCCTTCCCGGCCACACACCGACGACTCTCCAACCTCCCCCGGTCACCGTGGGGGTCCAAGACCTCATCCCCCGGGTCCCGACACCGGCCCAGGCCGGGGCTGAGGCTGATGGGGGGCGGGGTGGGGCGAAGGGGGCCGAGCTGCCACGGGGCAGGGCAAACTGCAGAGTGGAGAAAAGACCGTCCCGAGGGGCCCGGGGGAGGCGTGTTTGGAGGTTCGGGGCGGCGTGTGCTCCCAGACCGGAGATGGGGAGGGGGTGTGTGAACGGTCCGGGTCCCTGTGGGGGCTGGGCCGAGACTTGGAGTAAGGGGCTCTGGGCCTCCCCCCCAAACTCAGGGCTTCTCCCCACGCCGCGGGAGGTCCAGAAGGCCCTGGGCCGGACCCGTGCGGGCGGGCCGGGGGGCGGGTGTTTCTCCAGAAGTGGCGATGGGCAAGGGCCGGGCTCCGGGCTCCGAGGGTGAGGGTCGCTAAGGGCGCTCCCGGAAAGGGGCCTCGCTGGGGGAGCCAGGAGGAGGCCCGCGCCGGCACTCGGCGGCGCCGCTCGGGGTGGACACGGGGAAAAGGGCCAGAGGAGAGGGGCACAGCGCTCACGGGTCATGGCGACGGCAGCGGCTCCGACCTGCCTCCGTTACGTCCCTTCGTTCGCTCCGACGTTGCAGGCCCCGCCCCTTTCTCGCGGCGTAACGGAGCCGTTCTTTCCGCCCCGCCCCTTGGCGCCCGGCGCCGGCTTCCATTGGGCAGGAGGAAGCACGTGGGGCCTCGGGCCACGATGAAGCCTGGGCCGGGGCGGGGGGCGGGAGTTCGCTGGCCCGGCGAGCCGGGGGCGGGGCTTCCGAGCGGGGCGGGCGGGAGAAAGTAGGCCGGTCACGTGGACGGGGTGGGCGGGTTTTGCCAGGGGCTGGAGCACGTGATGTGGCAGTGACCTCATGCGGGGACGGCTCGGGACAGTGACCGTCTCTCCCGGAGGGAATGGTGGGGGCTGTAGGACAGGGGGCTGGAGGGACGGAAGCGAAAAGGTCCCGCCGGTTCTGTTATCAGATCCTTGAGTTAGAATCCCCCCACCGCCTAGTTAGCCACTTGCGTTGCCCACCTATGTAAATTCGTTCACAAACCGCAGCTTCAGAGACCCCATTCCAACCACTTTGTCCCGCCACCCCACACCCCTCTAATTCAGAAATTCGCTGCCACGCCCCGTAGGTCCTCAAACTTTGGTCTTGTCCATCTCCCCACAGAAACGTGAAATGGGAAGATGCGATGGCTTAGAAGCATTGGAGGACGCCCAAAATCAGACTATGGAGTTGGATACGGGACCGAGAGATTGGAAAATTTACATTTGTCCGTTTTCTCGCTGCACTGTCTCCACCGGCCACACACGGTGTTTAGCAGGCAGTTGAATGGGGCGTGAAGCTTCCGTTTCCCACTAAACTATTCTCATTCCTAGCTCCATACATCTACAAAACTCCCCACCGGCCCTGGGGAATTGGTTTGCAAAAAGGAGAAATGGCCGAAACCGATTTGGCTCAGCGGTAGAGTGTCGGCCTGTGGACTGAAGGGTCCCAGGTTGGATTCCGGTCAAGGGCATGTACAGTGGTTGCGGGCATATCCTAGATAGGGGGTATGCTGGGGGCAGCTAGTCAAATGTTTCTCTCTCATTGATGTTTCTAGCTCTCTATCCCTCGCCTTTCCTCTCTGTAAAAAAATCAATTAAAAAAAATTTTTTAAGGAGAAATGCTTAGGAAACATCACAGGAAAGAACTAATTGTGATTTTTTTAATCCTCACTAGAGTGTATGTTTTTATTGGTGAGAGAGAGAGAGAGAGAGAGAGAGAGAGAGAGAGAGAGAGAAGAGAGAAAGGAGGAGGGGGGGGGAGGGGAGGGGAGGGGAGGGGAGAAATAACCCTTGCTCTACTGGGGATATAACCCTCAACCTGAGTATGTTCCCTGACCCAGAATCGAACCTGCAACCTTTCAGTGCACAGGAGGACACTCCAACAGAGCCACATGGGCAGGGTGGTTGTGAATTTTAACTTGTGATTTTGTCCAACTAGTTCCCATGGCAGAACCCACTTGAGGCTGGAACTTCAAACAGGCTTCTCCCTCAACATAGAGTTGATGGGAAGGCAATAAACCTCAGTGCCATCTCGTTATTTTTGCCACACCTAAGAATCACTTGAATCACTGTCTATTACTTAATTTTTGTATACATCTTAAATAAAGCATGTAAGTCAAACCTCATATTCCTTTAGAAATTTAAAATCAGTATCACTTGTCCAAAAGCAGAAAGTAACTATAAAAATAAATGCAATAAAAATGAAACATAGTCCTAACCGGTTTGGCTCAGTGGATAGAGCGTCAGCCTGCGGACTCACGGGTCCAGGTTTGATTCTAGTCAAGGGCATGTACTTTGCTTGCGGGCACATGCCCAGTGCAGGAGGCAGCTGATTGATGTTTCTCTCTCATGGATGTTTCTAACTCTCTATCCCTCTCCCTTCCTCTCTGTAAAAAAATCAATAAAATATATATTTTTAAATGAAACATTATCAAATTCTACCCCAAAATACCATTGTTAAATATGCCGATGCCCTGGCTGGTGTGGTTGAGCATCATCCTTGTGTGCTGAAAGGTCACAGTTTGCTTTCCCAGTCAGGGTACACGCCCAGGTTGCCTCTCCTTTTTTTTCTTTTTATCCTAACACAAAGATGTTTTTACTAATTTTTTTTTAAGAGTGAAACAGATATGTGAGAGAAACATTGATTGGTTGCTTCCTGTACTCACAATCAAATCCGCAACATTCTGGTGAAAGGGAGGATGCTACAACCAACTGAGCCACTCAGCCAGGGCCTGCCCCTCCCTTCCTTCCTTCCTTCCTTCCTTCCTTCCTTCCTTCCTTCCTTCCTTCCTTCCTCCCTTCCTTCCTCCTTTTCTTCCTTCTTCCTTCCTTCCTTTCTTCCTTCCTTCCTTCCTTCCTTCCTTCCTTCCTTCCTTCCTTTCTTTAAAATATATTTTATTGATTTTTTTACAGAGAGGAAGGGAGAAAGACAGAAAGCTAGAGACATCAATGGGAGAGAAACATTGACCAGCTGCCT